TTAGTAAATCGTTATTGAAGGGTTATATAAATATGTATAATGTCTTCAAATGATAACTTTCCTACTAATATTTAACTCTAGTAGAATGAATAGTGTCATATAAACAATTTGATATTGTTTGTGTAGATTAGTAATGTTCGACTTACTGAATTATTGATTTACTGAAATTTTTATTTTTTGTAATAAATAATATTTTTTTTTTTATTAATATGATGATGTCTCGCTTCATTTATTGATGATGTCTATCTATTTATTTTCATAAAATACTTTCTAAGGTAAATGATTTATTAAATATATAATGATAAAATTTCTGCGAAATTACAGAAATTAGTTTGAGCGAAGCAAACAAGTAAATATTATATAAGTTAAAATTAAAGGATTTTCCGCCATGAAAATTGATAAATAATTCAATTTCCAGAACGTGCTTCTTTTGTGCTCTAAGTTAAATATTATAAGTAATGCTACAGATTTATTAATTATAATTGACTTGAGTCTATTGACTTGAGTAACTTATTTATAATTAATGAAGCTGTTTTAAATAAAACTAAGTAATACTTTTTTTTTAAAGATAGTAACTATAAAGTGTTAAGTGGACAGTAGGTCCTCTGAATATTTTGAGTGGTGTTTTACAGTGGGCATGTTAAAATGCAGTCTACATATATTTTTTTTCCGTAGGCGCAGAAAATAAATTGGAATGCTCCCTGAAAATATTTACATTATACTTGCAAACAAGCTCTTTGATAAACAGTCTTTTGTCGCTTTCTCCCCCTTACCCTCATATTTTATCTTCTACTCCCTGTTGCAACCCACCTCGAAATAAAATAAAACTGTTGGTTGTCCTCCATCTGCAGTAGGAGTACACAATTTAATTACACGGAGAATAGTAATTTAAAATTCTGAAAAAAAATATATGTCTCGCATCTTGTCTCTGTTGTAACGCCTGCAACTTTGAAATTTATTCCTCCATTTATTATAATAACCAAATAATCAAGTCAACAGTCGCGAACAGTCATTATTTCTGAACATATTCCAAAATAACAAAATAATATACTTTTATTATTTTTTCATAACTAAAATATTACAAATATTTTAAATAACTATCATTTAATTTATACTTAAAAATATTTATAATTTGCAATTGTCCTTATTTTTTTAAATTCTTTAAATATTTTCATATGGCGACTAATAGCCGAATGGTTAGATCGCCCTACTCCATCTATGAGTGCTGGTTCGATTCCAGCCAAGGCAGGCCTTTTGTAAACTCCCTCGCAGTAATAAGGCCATTGTTTTTATGAGACTTTGTTCATCTTTAAAAGTTTTCTGAGACTAATTCTAATTACTTATTCTATTTACAAAGTTAATTCTTATTAATACGGGATGGGAGTTGTGATTTAAGATAGGGCTTGTATATATTGATGATTAAGCGTTCCCACAGTCTGGGTCAAAATCCTTTGGATTTTTTTATATGAAAAAGAGGATCGATTACGACTCTACGTTTAAAGATTATTATGGAACGGATCTAGGACGTAAAGCAAGGTACTAGAATATTTATATGAATAATTAATCATAGAACAGTACAATAATACAATACATTTTTTTTTTATAAATAGTCTCATAAATTTTAGATCTGGGATATTTTTCATTGCATTTTAACGTCTGCAAAATAGATATTAAATTTCTTAATAATAATTATGATTTATTGGCCAAAATTTCACCAAACAAAACATAAAATGTATCCAAATACAAGAAACAAAATAATATAAATTGAAAAGAAAACAACTTTAAATATAAAGAAATAACACAATGGAAATTAAAAACACAAATAAATGAAACAAATATTTTTTTTATGAACATAATTACAAAAATATTATAGGGTTCATGTCATCAACATTTCTTAGTGGTTAATGAAATGTCCTATCAAACGTATAAATTTAAGCTTTATGTTTGGTAGCTATTATTATAAATGTAATTACTTTCCTTTTTTCATTATATAAAGTTAATTAAGTTCAAGCTACATTTACTGGAAAGCATTTTCTTAAGTGCAAATATTCAATTCGAAGAACGTTGCACCCACTCAAAATATTCGGGAAAAAGTAGACCACGTTGGCCGATTATCAGCTAGGCAATATTATTAATTCCACGGGAGTCCTAATTTCGTACCGCCCGCTCCTCCATTATTATATAATAAGATGGCATTACACTGACGGAGTCGCAATGGTTATGGTGTTATGGAGAGATGCCTGTTCGATGCTATTAAAAAATTAGGTCATGTGTGTGCACCAAAATTTCGTAAGCGAAACCCAATTACACGTAAGTTGTCGAGAGTGTAGGGATGGTGATGACGTTCGACTCACGCTTCCGTATCATAGAATGATGAAATTAAATTGCCAATCTGATCCGATTCCGGCAAAGATTAAATGCAAATTACATTCCCGAAACGCGCGCCTACACACACACACGCACGTACCGCATACACACACTAAACACACCTCGAAGCACAAATATTCAATGTCTATAGGCCTTTCAGCTAATCGAAACCATGACAATTTTCTTGTGTGACTGGGTTTGCCCTGTAATTAGACGCATACCTAACAAACAGCCGTCTAATGCGAATCTAGACTATGTGCATCTATTGATTGGTATTTGATGAACCTAATTTAATTAAAATAAACTGCTTTGCACGGGTTGAGTTATTCCGATCGCGCTGTTTGATCTGTCGTTGTTAAATTCGTTAATCAATTATATTAATTAATTTCACCCAACATTCTGTATTGTGGAAATGCAATTGGAGAGAATATATGAATTCCAATTTGAAAATTGTTACCTCATTGAACGTTTCATTTGCAATCTGGCTAGAAAAACTTCAAACGGAATAACTGATGCACATAATAGCGAATATCGTTTTGATGTTGCCAACTTACAGATAGTTTTGAATTTAAATTCATGAATAAAAATGTATATTTAAAGAGTCATATACATTGAATATTATTAGTAAGTTAAATTAGATAAACATAACATTTTTTTATTCTAAGTTAGAGATGGCTTTTATTTTTTTATGTAAATTTATAAGCGATTTTTGTATTGGTTTATTACTAAGAATTTATAATAATATATTATATAATGTGCATAAAGATCAGTTGAGATTTACTACAGTTTGATCATTTCAAAACAAACTGATTTTAAGCACAATAAAAAAAAATAGTAAACAATTTTGTTTTATATGTCAAGTCTTTTTGTGTAATATATTATATATATATATATATATTTGTACCTCGATTAGTTTCAAACAGACCGGATGGAAACGATTCTCTGCACTGTTGCTGTACTTCATTGTTTGGTATTTCTTATCCTTAATAATAATAATAATAATAACTTTGGATGCGCACACACAATACGTTGATAAGTCATTAAAGTTATTAGTGAGATTCCGGCTTTAGGGATCTTTGTCTGGCAATATACCTGAACTTAATATACAATTCTCGCAATAGTTTGGTGTTTGGATTTCCAAGTATTTGTCTCATTCACACTATAATCGTGATAGACATCAAGTAATTTGCCTCAATTTCACATAATTGCAAAATTGTTATCTCGGAAACATGATCAAACAAATTGTATAGAACATTATTAATTCAGAACTAATTTAGTTTGCTAATAAAATAGTACATTCAACTTATAGCCAGAGATCTTGGCAGGTTGTGAATAATAAAAGTAAAAAAAGAAATAAAATAGAAATTAACTTAATAAAATGTTTATCAATAAGTAAAATATATTTAGCTATTTTTTCTATTATTGTAATTACTATTATGAAAATAACTTTAGAATTCTTTAGAATTTTAGAACTCCTTTCAGTTTGTTTCTAACTTTTTATTTACTATTTTAAATATATATGTTTCCATTGTGTATGACTTGCTGTTGTTTTCTTTATATATGCAGATATTTGATGGAAATATTTGTTTCAATTCTAGGTTACATACATAAATGAGGACTGAAATTCAAGCTTCTGAACGTTACATAAAACGTAATCCATGCGTATGATATATGAACTACAAACTCATATTACCTTTCAGATCGTTTCAATATGCATGAAAGCGGATGTAATGTAGCAATGTCCTTTAAATAATTTCGCTACTACAATCGATGATATTTGTAGATATACGTATATCACAAAAAAAATCTTAAACGACCATAATTAAACCATAATTTATTAAAGTTTAATTTCATATTTCAAACTTTTTACATTATAGATTTCAGAATAATTAAAACTGTAAGCACCCTATATCTTTCACGTGGCGAAAACAACATAAATTCGACCATGAGACCATTCATAAAAAACTTTTTGAATTTGCGTTTTTTTCAGTAAATACAATTTATATTACATGGCTTAAACATTTCTATATGAAAGATCTACAATTAATCTATATTATTTTGTATAATACCATTATCTATTTACCCATTTCTGTATTTTATTTATATGTCTTCGGATTTAAATTTCTTAAGTATAAATATTGACTATTTTTCGATTAGTTAAATTGAACAGTCTCGCCATATTTTTCTTAGATAATAAAAAAATGAGAAATAAATACTAAAAAAAAACATTTTATTCACATTTTAGACAAAGTCACAAAAGATAATAGGGATGTGATATTGTTATCTTTAAGAATTTGTGCAACAAATTGCGTTTTGATTTTAATAATACGGTAATACTTAAAATATATAAAGTATTTATTGTTTTACAACTAGTGAAAGTTAAGATTACTTATGCAGGTGACATTTGGACAAACGGGACAAAGATAATAGTAACCCATAATAACATATTTAACACCAAACAGAATGGTCCGACTAAATAATTTCTTATTCGATAATTATTTGAGTTCTAAGCCAACTAACACTTACAATTTCTTGATAGAATCATATTATGCAGTTACTATTTTTTGTTTATATAATAAAATTAACAATCTAATGAAACTGATAATTATTGTAAATGATCTTCTTTGTTTCAGCTATATTGAAGTCCTTGTGCCAGGAGTTTCTTTCGTACAACGTTTCCGCAATTTTGTACTTGATGAACTACGAACAATACGGCAGAAGTACAGCATCTGCACAGTATTTTTTGCAACTGGCAGGTTATCTGGGAATTCCGGTGATCGCCTGGAATGCTGATAACTCTGGCCTTGAGAGACGAGCTTCGCAATCGTCGCTACAATTGCAACTGGCACCGTCCTTGGAGCATCAAACAGCTGCAATGCTCAGTATTTTGGAAAGATACAAATGGCATCAGTTTGCAGTAGTCACCAGTCTTATTGCCGGGCACGACGATTTTATACAAGCAGTTCGGGAAAGAGTTTCTGCTATGCAGGTAATATAATTTGAGATATCTCTAGGGATCTTCCTCTAAATCAAATTTTCAGTGATTCATATCCTACACCTTTTGTTTTTTTTCGTAATATGAGGTTGTACGTAAATCTCTCTGAATGCGGAGCCAAAAACAAATTTTTATTTTCAGTTTGTAATGTTAATTCTATATACAGGGTGGTCAGTTTTATATTACCAACCCACAATCAGATTTCAACGGATACATTTCTTTATTTTGAACGGTTGATAGAGATGTGACAAAATACAGATTTCCATAGGACAAATATTTAAGTTTCGAAGTTAGTAATGTATTTTCTATATGGTGATATTATTTTCTTTTTTTGTTTTTGATGTAAATATCAAATTGTATTCAAAATAATTTATGAAATATTTATCAATTACCTAAGAAAATATTTAATGGTGCATCTCGAAAGTTGTTATGAAAAGCTACGGACATATTTTATTTTCTAGTTTTAAATAGACAACACTATATATTATTTCGGGTTGGTTGGAACTATGCAGGATGAATAATTTGCATATAATCTATTCAAATAATAAAAACCAAATTAACGTTCTGTTGAAACGTTATATGGTTTTTTTTTATGCTTTCCTATTAAACCGCTGCAATTTCGACCAGGATTGCTGATACAAATCCTGGTCGAAATTCCGCGAGTGAGAATTTATATTTAAGGATATGAGGCGAAACAAAACGCGAGATTTTTCATTTAGATAATGCTCATATTGCCAGAGGTGATAATTTGCAAAGCGAATTTGGTATTATTTTACAAGAAAATTGTGAATATGCTAACTTTATTATATCTGCTATTAATTTGTTTCAAATCAAGAAATATACTGAAGTAATTTTCATTTGTCATTTTTTTGTATCTCCCTACTAAATAATATATATAAATATTTGTAACGAAAAATGTTTGACATTCAAAACATTTTAGAACGTGAAATACCACCTGTTTTGAGTTTTTTGTATTACACGCTTTTATCTTTCGCATACCACACTACATTCAGTATCAAAGCATATATTTGACAGTTTTTTTAACATAGGTTGATAGCAAATATTTTCAGTTAATGTTTGAAACACTTTTCTATTTAAAAAAAAAACATGAGTGTAATTTGAATAACCATGTAAATTGTTTTCATTTTATAACTGATTTATTTTACTTTGTTAGTATACTAAGTGAAATGAAAGAATAATGCAAAAAATACTCTTCTTCTTTTTTTTTGCTTTTTCTTCAGAAACAGTTTTGCAAGTGTTGTTAAATATTGCCAAAAAAAACACATAATATGTCTGAAAATAGCTTCCAAACTTGTAGGAAAATGATGTAGCAGGGTAGAATCTGAGATTTAACTTCTCCTCGTAACTCGTTTCGTGAAACTTCGCTCATTAAGAGAGTCAATTTTTTACTATTTGTTTTGCTCGTTATGCGAATTGCTGGTTATTAGATATGCTCGTAAAACAAGGATCCCCTATACCTCGCTATACGGTATATGACACTTCGCTATAACGATATTTCTCTATAATAGCCTTTTTGTCTTGTTTCGTTATACGGTAAACATACTACAAAAGCAAGGCTGGTTTGTATCAAAACAATTAGTTCGTTATACGGCTTTTTGCTTAAGGACAACTATTCCGGAACGTATCTAGGCCGTAAAATGAGGTTTGGATGAATATAAGTTGTAGAAAAGATTATTTTGGTTTTAACAAATTACTTTTATATAATGTACAGTCTTTTAAATACATTATACCTATAATTTAATTATCCATATATCAAACATCAAGTCTGAGAATAACACGAAATTAACAAATTTATTAATTTGCTTATAGTCTCGTATACAGTGATATATGAAAACATATTTATTTATAGTCAAAATATTGGTTTATCTCAGGGCAAACTATATGTTAATAGTAGTTTTTTTTTCAAATTTCGCCTTTGTGGTATACACTTTGGTAATCACTGATATAACTCGACGTTATGTATTTAATAGATGAAATTATAAATTAGTGATCAGCGATTGATTATATGTGTTTATAACCATGACAATTCCCTCGACTGCATTATAATATTTATAACAATTGTATACATACATTTAAATCGTGGGAATTCAATCATTTTTAATCTAATTTTATTGTAAATTATGAATATATTTTGTAATTATGTTAATATACGAGCGACATAATATAATGTTTTTTTTTTTGTTGAAAATAAACTTTCATCATTTGCATGTAAAGTTTGTTCATTTATTTTCACTGCATGATATATACGTTTAAAGTGTATAAAGTATACACTGCAGTTCATTATAAACTTCTTATAAATATGCATATTCAAGTCGTACATGTCATGTCTGTCACTCACTCATAGTGTTGCAATCTTTGAAAAGAACTTTTTTCGATTGTCAACGAAATTACTTGCACAATTTTCTACTCGTATAAAGTTTATATTAATAGCTGGAAACTTGTGCATGCATTTGCTTGAAAGTATTGATCTGATCTTTGAAAATCCACTGCAAAAAGCAGGACACGTCCCTGGGCGCCTCGTTACGATGGTCCTTACAAGTATATTTTATTTAAAAAAAAAGTGCATTTCCAAATTTAGAAAAATAATGATGGTATATTCATATTGGTTCTCTGGATAATGAAGAAACCAATGTTTAGTATTCCAATTTATTATGATATTGATATGTTTCTATTATTTATTTATTTAAAATTTCATTTATAAATGTGACCCAAAATGTTTAGGACTTCTATTTTTAATTTATACTATTTTCAAGCTTTTTAGAATTACTAAATAAAATAATTTAAATAATAAACATTTTAATGACGTTTTTTAATTTATTAATTTAAATACCAATATACAATGCGTGCGCATCACATTAAAATGCAAGTGTCGCTCCTATTACACGATACTATTGCAACACGATCAGAAAATTGTATTCCATCAGTTTATTTATCTTGGAGGCGCTGATTCCACTTTCACGTTAAATGTATACATATTGAATCTGATATCGAGTTCTTTAACACGTTCAGTGCCACCGGTGATGCTCAATAAAAAATTACTTGTGTGCAATGAGCATCACCGGTGATATCAGTATGATCATCATATGTTAGTTATAATGTGTTGGAGCAGGTTGCTCGAGATTTTTCAAATCTCTTTCATGAATCTCCTTTACATCTCTTCCAGCTGTTGTATCTTTCAAACTCATGAGATCGTGTTCTTCAGTAACATTCATTTCACTATCAACACTTCTAATAAACATAGCAAGCTATCCAATATCATTAATATCTATTGTTTTATCAAAAGGCATTGAGAAATATACGTAGACTTTTGTAAATGTGTCAAGCGATGCACCAATTTCTGTCCAAATGTGGGCTATTTTTATTCTTACAGATTGACCTGAGAGACTAATTTTAGACACGGCAATTAGACACTCTTTCATGTAGTCATCGTTTATAAAGGGCTTCATTTTCTTCGTAATAATGTGAGATACTAGAAAGCTAGCACAGACGATACCGTTTATTGTGCAGTTTGCTTGTGAAATATGTTTTGTTGAGTTTTCAGATTGATCTTTAATGATTGCAACTTAGCTTTCTGTTCGCCAATAGAAACTTTATCAATTTCGCTAAGTTTATGTTCAAAATGTATTTTAAAGTTGTATGATTTTAAAATTGAAATAGAATCGCGACAATTCAAACATATCGCGTTGTCTTTTATTTGAATGCACCTTTTTTTATTCCATATGACACGATTAGGAATTTAACTTTTATATTGTACTAGTAATATATGTATATGAAAAAATAACAATACTTTGCAATTTCAATTTTAATTATTGCTCGATGTAATCATTAAAGCAAGTATTTATTTTAATTGTATATTTATTTATAATTCAATTTTGATATTTAATTTATGTGCAATTCGACAGATAATAATCAGTGAATTCTAAAATTAATTTAAACAATACATTTGAATTAATTTATAGTTAGTTCATAAATTTATTTAGGCATATGAATCTGCGGGTACATATTGTTTCCAGCAAAATGGAAACATGCAAATCTAATTCGTTTACAAACTGAAGTGTCTAATTTAAAATACATATACTGCCAGATGAATGGAATTATATTACATAAAATACGAATGTAACATAAATATGTTTACTATTATAAACTGTATAAATGCATATATCAAATTTAGAACGGATCGCATAAATTCATTTTTGTATTAACGAGTTTGTATCATCCTCATCGTCATATTTCTATAGCAAACCATTTTTTTTAGTATTTTCTGCATGTAACTTTTCGATACTGAGTTATCATTGGTCACAAATTCAAAATGCAATTACAGGGTCAATTTGTTTGATAGTTCGTCCGTGCTGCAGTGCAATTAAAGCGGACGCACCTCGTATGTTTGCATTGCATCCGTACGTACGACCAGCAAGTTTTTAATTAAATTTCATCAGTTCCATTCGCTACATTAGCAACTGGCATTGGTTTCAAATTGCATCACGAAAACGTTCATAATTTTATTTTGTAATCCGATTTAATAATCTCTACTAGAAAATTACGAATAGCTGAAACAACAAAAGCTAAAATAAGTATAATAATATTCTAAATAGTTTTTTACCAAATGAATCAATAAATATGATAGGATTCACAATATTTGGGTTAAATCATATCAAAACAAACTAAATTTTAATAGAAAAAAATTAAATAAATTCTAATTAAATAGTACACAACATATTTTTTTATACATAATTGATGGATTTTTCTTATTTATTAAGTTAAATCTCAAGAGATATAAATTAATTATTTGATCATTATTATCCGGGTTTTATTAATATTTTACGATGTATTATTATGTATCAATAATCATTATTTATATAGATTGGAGTGAAAAATACATATTGATAAGTAATACATATAAACAAAATTTAATTACAATATTAATAAAAATATGAAATTAAAGATATAAATTTATGCAAAATCACTTTTGTAAT